GAATATTTAAGAAAGCAAACAATACGAAATACGCCGGGAATATCTAAATCGAAATCAAATCGAATTGAATCGGAATCATTTATTTTAAGTTAAGGTGGCCATTATAGAATGGACATGAAGAATGGAAACAATACAATTTTAAATAAATTGTTTTAATTAAAAGTACCGTTTGGCATATTATGTTCATATGAACTCCTCTTCGCCCTAAAATACTAATTCACTTGTAGCGAAACCAAAGTTGGGTATATTAAATATTAATGTTTATATTATTGTGTAGTAGGTAGGCAATCCCTTTGTTTAATTATTGCTTATTAAGTTGTATCTTCATTTAGTGATATTTAATTCCCACTATAATCTAATGCAGGACGCCACCATTTTAAGGACTTCCATTTGAACTGTAAATTAACATGTCTTGTACAGTGTAATCTGTGAAACCAAAATTGATCCTTGGGATATAGATTGGTTTTGACTCATGCGATGATGTTCATAGCAAAAGTCTGGTTATTCCAGGTAATATATTTTAATAACTCTTTATCTATTTTCTATATTTAACTTGGGACATTCCAGTTTTTACAGACTTGCATTTTGCAGGCAACTTTAGTTCTAAAAAATTCTTAGCATCTATCAACTATCAATACTTTTTTGTATGCAGTTATTTTTGGTCTAAACTAAATAAATAATGTTAGATGATTGTTTGTTAAGAACCCATCGTCCTAGCTGGGCTGAAGAACGTAACATGTGGCGCATTTTAAATTTCATTTTTCGCTCCGTTACACACTTAATACAAAATGTCAACGAAAATGATAATATACTATTTGAAATAATACAATTTATAATATAACCTCATGGGTTAATTTGACAGCAGCAATGGTTATTTTTGTCACATGAATTATAAGTGTCAGGAACTATAGTGGTTACAGAAAGTTTAACCATGACGCGATGCATGTTTCATAAAATGCTTAAGTTAACCCCAGAAACAAAAGAGCACCTACCTTGGTGTGATCGTAGTAGACTGGATACGTCGGATGTGGTGAAGATGCCCAATGCCCCAGGATGTTACTTGTGATTTTACTTAACATGCACTTTTTGGAAAAGCTTGATTGATATAAACTGTCTTGTAAGAACGACCGTTAATCTTGAATTCAATCGCTAGACTACTTTATATGTTTTAACATAAAATTCCCCAAATTAAAATAGGCAGTGTTGCCAGATCATTTTACACTTGTGTGTACATATAGTGAACAATATTCTGAAGAAGAAAGATTATTTTATTTATTGAGTGTTTTATTTTCTCCGTTTAAATGTTAATTTTTTTTATAAATTATAAACAAATGTCCAGTTACATAGTGTTTGCGCCTATAATAAAACTATAAATTTTACATAAAGATTCAATGCTGGGCAATGTGGGATGCAAATTTTATCGAATTAATAATTTGATAAGACTGAATTATTAATTTTTTTTGTTAGTTGGTTAAGCGACTAAAACTTTGCTAAATTAAATCTTTACGAACATGCTCACTGGGCTAGTACTCAAGACCCCTAGAGGGCGCTTTAAAAACATAATTTACCTACAATGTCCAACAAAAAATCAAACCACCAGGGATTACCAATAAGATTAACGTAACTTTAAAAAAATACGGGGACAATGTTTGATAAAATATCTTTGACATTTGCTGTTTTTATGTTTAAGTTTGAAGTTACACCATGAATTATTTTATTTTACCACGACGTTTTAAAATTGTTTTAATTGGAGCACACTTCGTAGAGAGAATCGTATTTCTGTATGGCTAAAATACAAAATTGCCGTTATTAAACTAAATTTAATTTACAAGCAATAACGAGGCTCCTTTGTATATCGATATCGGCAAATAACACTGGTCGACAAAATGAAAGTTTTTATTTGACACATGGTGGGCAATAACTTTTCTTGGGAATTTGGGTACGCTGATTCCAAAAATGGCCATCATTTGGCTCTGGTTTTTACGATATTGTAAAAAACGGTTTTTTTCGACTTGTATGTATACATAATTTGTATTTGATTGAGTTGGAATTTTTACAAAATAAAGTAGATAGATGAAGCTACAATATTTTATAAATTTCATTTACAGTGGACAAAAATTGTTCTTGTTACAGTAATTTAAATTTTGAACCAGTATAATCATTGTTTGGTATAGATTATGACATGGCCTAATGTAACAAGAAAAGGTTATTAGTCGATGTATATTAATTATTTTTTTAACAAAATTTGATAATATAACGTTAATATAAACTAAACTGTTTAAAAGTTTCACTATTTTATTTAAATATGACAATAGTTTTGCTACATATTCAATATATAATAATATATTCAAAAAGTATAATGTTATATAACTAAAAAGATTACAGGAAATTCCCAAAATTATTGTTCTTTTATTGTATAACGCTAATTTAATCTACCCCCAATATTGTACTTAAAATATTACCTGTAAAACCATCATTTATTTAAATAGAAAATTAATATTGGTTTGTATACGATCGGAAGATGCTACTGTGTAGCGAAACAATTGTCATATTTAAATAAAATAATGAAACTTTTAAACAGTGTAGTTTATATTAACATTATATTAACATGAAGTTTCACCAAGTAAAAGTCGAAACAATGAATTAATTCGACGAATTTTATTTTCACCAAGACTTATTGTGAAGAAAGTTTGGTAAGTAAATAATTGCAAGAAATAGCAACAATCTCACCATAAAATTTATAGAATATTCTCCTAAATAAAATAATGTTTCTCTCCAACCACAGTCGTTTTATTTAAAACGCCAATTATCGTATATGTTTCCATGACACTAAGCGACCTTTTAAATACACATTGACAAGATGTGGCTTTATGGCGATTTAGTCAGAGGCTGAAGTTAGCTACAGGTTTTTAGTTACGAGCTGAAGTTAGTTTTAATTTATTTGACAGTTGTCAAATGTCATAAAATCGTGCCTTTCTTGTAAAATGATACTAAATGTGAAAATTATTTTATTATTTCAATAAAAAAATACAAAAGTATTAAATAGTTCATTGACGCCAATATTTGAAAAGATTAAATGAACTTTTTTAACTGATAAAGCGTTAAAAATTTTGCGTACATACATATTAAAGGTTGGTTTATTTTCAAGAGATAAATTTTGATTTAGACAGAAAAATTTAAGATTTTAACGCCCGTTGATTCCCAAGTTAGAAATTCTAACGGAAATTCCAATAAATACAACTGTCACTTTTTGTACTATGCTCCACACTTCAAAGTCCCACCACGTGACCACGTACGGAACGCAGTCTTTTGATAATTTGTCATTTAAGGCTTTTCAGGTTATGTATCTGTCAAAGTATAGTCAATGCAAGAAATAATATTTATACTGTTACCCTTTATGTTTAAGCGTTAAAAGTTTATAAATCTTTATAGTATCACAGTAACAATGGTTGGTTTAAGAGTTTAGGAGTATAAATACTGCATTTAATGAAATTCTAAAGTGTATAGTGCCAAATAAGTAAAATTTTTGTGCATTTGGTCTACATACATATATCTGGTTTTATCCATAAAATAGTTTTAACTAAACGGCATTTATTAAAAAAATCTAGCTTGTCTATTATGGAATAAGAATATCTGTATCAAAGGTAGGTTAATATATTATAACAAAAAATATCATCTAATTTTGAAATTTTAAGGTTAGAAAAATCTACCTATTTTGATCAAAATAAATAAGTATTTTGGATTATTTGGAAAAGTGTGTTAATATTGTCATATAAATATAGATATACTAAATAATTGTTGAATATGGTTCAAATTAAATTAAAGCTTTTATACTCCTAACAACAAAACTTGAGCATACCTCTCGGGATCCCTACTTTAAGTTAGATTATAAGGAAACAAACAATTTTTAGAGATACATGCAATGTAAAAATATTTAATACTCCCATAACATGTGATTTTTGAAGTTTTTAAAAGTTATAATGATTTTTCGATGAAGATAAAATTCAGTTGAAGCTTTATATGTAATTGTATTGACAAAACTTTATGTAGGTATACTTTAAGCTGGATAAGAAAGACTACTACAAGTAATGTCAAGTTATATGTCAAAAATGTTTATAGGAATGGTTACTTTATTTTCGTATAGATGTCGCTTTATACAAATATTTAATTTAAATAACTTTTTGAATAAAATTAAGTATTTGTCGTAGGAAAAGTATAGTATGCAACTCGTTTAATTAAATTCTTGGTTAAAATGGCGTTTATCAAACTTGATACATAATATACCATTATTTACCTAGATCCTGTACACATAACAGTTATTTTACTGCTTATGTAGAACTGGGACTAAAGTCGTGATTTAAATTAACGCCCAATATTTACATCCAAAACTGTGTTTGTTTAGTTGTCCTTTATTAAATCTATACTTTTTTTAAAATTACTATAGTATCAAAGAAAAACTAAACTATTTAGCGGTACCTCAATATTAGCTCATAGGTGTAATTTTAATAAAAGTACAGTAAAATTAACTATATCTCAAAAACTGTTTTAGTTTTATAACTTTTGACAAGTGGACAATTGTATGTATGAATTACCTACTCAATTTCCGCCATACAAATTGCTGTTGACGAGAATTATTAGTGGCTGCTTTTTCGCTATGGCAATTAGTAATTTTTGACTAATTCATTTTTGGAGTATAACTTTTTAAAAATGACCTAGGCCCCCACTTGGCTACAAACGGCCCTTTTGCTGCTAGCAGTGCTTCCCCCACTTAGTACAAGCCATTAGGCATGTTATTTTATCACTTATCACGGGTTTGTGGCTGAGTAAACAGTAGAGTGACACTACACGTATCGTTGGCTTTATTAGATTAATCGTAGGTATTGAATAAATAAAATAGTGTGTTTAGCAATATTATTACTACGATAATATCATAATATATGGCAGCAATCTTTGGTTACAGAAATTAATGGCTGTTTGATATATTAAGCATTTTCACTTACCTGTTGAAGTGTTTTCTGAAAGCTCCGCTCACAAAATAAAGTGCCACTGGATTAGCGCACGAGTTCAGGTAACTCAAACAGAAGCCTATGATCCTTAAAAAGTGCCAGAAGTCGTTGTAAATCTCGCTGGCATTGGGATGAAAATAAAAGAACATCATAAACATGTTCGATGGTAAAAAGCATACTGCAAACATTAAGACGAAGACGAGAACTGTGATGGCGACTTTTTTCCTTGCTCTTATCTGAAACGAACGAAAAAATATAATTTTATAGATGGGAAAAGCTTTTAAAACAATCTTTTTGTGTTTTGAAGTTTTGCGAAAGCACGATTATTGCTAAGCAAATTATGATGGTTGTGGAAACAGCTAAAATATTTAGATTTAAGAAATACGTTAGGAGGCCACTTTTTATTTAAATTTTTAAACAATAAATTCGTAAACTAAATTTTTAAAAAGAGTGTTTTAAATTTTTAACATTTTAAAAATGTAAATACCTATTATATGTATCTATAATAATGGTATATAATTTTTACAAATGATTTAAAATTAACACAGGTATTAAATATTATTATTTAAATTTTTAAACAATAAATTCGTAAACTAAATTTTTAAAAAGAGTGTTTTAAATTTTTAACATTTTAAAAATGTAAATACCTATTATATGTATCTATAATAATGGTATATAATTTTTACAAATGATTTAAAATTAACACAGGTATTAAATAACACTGGTCTACAAATTAAAGAAAAAAAATTGACTGAAAAAAGGAGGATGTTTTTTAAGTAATTTAGGGTGCAGAATTTAAATTTACCGCCAAAATTGTGCTATCAGGTCTAGTTATTTTTATGCCGCATGGTGCCGCTACCGTAAAGTAATTTGACAAAAACCGACATTTCTTCTCTTTCTCTTATCTCCATAATAATAGTGCGTATACGCATATATGCCAAGTAGATCGTGTGTTACTAATCCAAGCTATTTCTGCTTTGTTATGGTGAATATATAGTTGGAAAAAAAGATATGTACCAGTAATATGGAGAGAGAAAAGTAATCACCAAACCGATTGTTATTATTTAACAAAAGTTGTTCGAATCAATATCAAAAATCGAAAAAGTGTGCAATACGCAAATGCTGCATCTGTTTTAAAACCAGTTCAACGTTTACCAAATGCTCCATTGCCAGTCGTTCCTAGTACTACAAGCAGTGATTCGGAATCATCTTTCAATGAAATTGGTATGAGCCTGATGATGAATGCCATTTAGTGACTCAAACTGAACTGAATGATCTAGTTCGTGATTTACATTTATCAAAGCAAGATACAGAATTATTGGGACAAAAGTAACAGTTTATAAAGAAAGAAGCTTGGAATTGGCTGCATATTTTGAGAAGAAAAACACCATTCTCTACTGTAAAGACATTCGAGGTTTATTTAAAAAAATTAACCAACCATATGAAAAAAATGAATGGAGATTATTCATTGATGGCTCCAAGTACAATTTAAAGGGTCTTCTTTTACATAATGGGAATAAAAAACCATCCGTACCAATTGCTCATGCTGTTAATACTAAGAAAGATTACGAATCAATGACATTTTAACTTTACTCAAATACGAAGATCATAAATAAAATTAAAGGTATCCGATTGAATGTTTTATGTATACCGTAAATTCCAAGTTAATTAAATAGTCGAGCTACAAGTCATCATTACACCAGAACAGAGTGGCCACAAAGAACAGTATTCTCCTGGAAAATAAAACATTTCAAATAAACCATTGGTTGATCCAAATGACGTTCTTCTTCCAGCTTTGCATATAAAACAAGTCTTTTCAAAAACTTTGTCAAGCATCTGGATAAAGATGGTGCTGCTTTTAAACATTTGTTAGCAGTTTTTCCTAAAATTTCATATTCTAAAATTAAAGAAGGCGTATTTGTTGGTCCTCAGATTAGGAAGTTATTGAATTATGATTATTTTTCACAATGTTTACTGGAGAAAGAATCTGCAGTCTGGCAATCTTTTAAAAGCATCGTAGATGGTTTTCTTGGAAACAAGAAAACTGATAATTATAAACAAATTATTGTGAATTATGTGCACGGATGTCACTCAAAATGCATTTTTTGCACTCACATTTGCGTTTTTCCCACAAAGCCTGCACTGAAAAAAATAAGCTGTTGAAACAACAAAAAAAATATTAATTCAACTCTTTATGCACTTTAAATACAAGCAATGGTTTTTGCACGTTTACTTAACCTTCTAAAAATGTCAAATTGTATTGTTTAATTGAACAACAAATAACAGTCAAATGAACAAAATAAGAATATTTGTTCTAATCTGCTAATTTGGTTAATTTAACATTCTTAGAGTGTTAAGGTAAATTTCTTGAAATGTCCAGGTAACCTTTTTAGCATATTCACTTAACACCAATAAAATGTTAAATTAACATTCTGAAAATGTAAAATTCTTTAAAGGTTGGTATCCAAAACAAAATTATGGAAATAATATATTATTATATATAAATAGAAAGAATTGAACCTTCACCTCGCACAGAGTTTTTGTTTTGAGCGTGTTCCACCCATGATACATCTTTGTATCATGTGTTCCACCTACTTCAAATACCGACAGACTGTTTCGCCCTGTATTGAGGGTCTTAACAGTGTCGGGCAATATGGTGTAGTGAAAGTTCTACTGTGGAACACACCTTAAACAAACAGATATCTCATCTTATATACACCTAATCGTAAGGTAACTAAGGCGAGATGTAAGAAAACGTCATTGTCTAATGACGTGGCGTGAGTGTTCGAAGCGCCATTCTCGGCAATTTTATGAATGCAAATTTTACATTTTAAATTTGTTAAATGAACAAATTTAAAGTTTTGGATTAAAGAGCAACTAAACGTTAATTTAATAGTTTTTTTTAGGTAATCCTAAAAATTTCAGTAGTTGATTCAACAAATTCCAGCTATTAAATCAAAGTACGATAAACATTTTAATTCAAAATATTAGTTTATGTTAAATTAATATTTAAACTGTCAAATGAACAAATAAACTTTGACAAACTCTGACTTTTGCTTTAACACCAAAATATAGATTAATCCAATAGGTTTTTTGTTGAAACAACATTTTTAAAAATGACATTTAGGCAAATGTTAACTCAACTACATTATTTTTTTTCGGTGTGGGTGCAGTAATCGATGAACAAGGAGAATAAGCCCATCAAGATTTAATGAAAATTGAAAGAAATTATCAAGGATTTTGGGACAAAAGTATGCTGGGAGATTATAGCTGGACTCTAATTCGTGAAACTGACCCAGAGAACTACAAACGATGTTCAAACATTGCCATTCACTTTTGAAATTTACTTTATTTGTAAATAATTTTACGATCTTTTATTAAAAACATTCGAAAACAATATTTTATATTTTGAAAACCTGACCCGATAAGAGAAAAACAGTTACAGATTCAAATTCAGCGCACCAGTCCAAAACCTGTATACCAGTGTAATTAATTGAGTTAAATACAAACTTTTCCAATATTACCAATGTTTATTATTTGCTACTAATATTAATAATTTCCGATCTTGTTCTAAACAACAATAATTATTTGGGTCGTCCACAGTGACGGAAGGTTACATGGAAGAATTTGTTGAGAAAAAGAAGAAAGTTTGCAAACTGCTGATGGGGGATGTATCACCAAGTACATCATTCGCATTTGCTCCACCTTAACAGAAAGTACAGTCCGTTCAGGCTAAGTTGAGCGCTTTGGTGGGGGATCATGTGGCCGTTAATTAAATTAAACATCGAATCGTAGCGAGATTTCGGTAACAAAAAGATGATTTATCAGTGCCGCGGCTTGCCGTTTGTTCGTACAGAGCGGCTACCGAAATACATGTATTTAATTGTGCCTGAACATAGAGATGATGAACGGTGTGACATTCCTTAGACCGCTCAACTTAGCCTGAACGGACAGTAAATTTACCTGCCAATGGAAAAGAAGTCATTTCGTTTACAGAAAGCAGTTTTAAAAATGCACAAAATTGTTCATTTCATTTTCATTTTTCCAATTAACTTTTATTAGTTGATTATTATTAGATTACTTGTTAGCTTTTGATATTGTCAGTATAGATAAAACAATCAAATAATGGAAATTGATTTTTCGAATTTAGATATTCTAAGGAATTTTGGAATAGTCCGTAAAGGTTGCCATGACGACTTTTAGGGACTAGGCCAAAAAAGAAGCATCAGCTATTTTTGAGAGCGTATTATGGTGGTATGTAGCAAACTTTTTAGTCAATGCTTAATTAGTAACTTTTAGTGCTGTTTAAAATATAAAGTTTTTTATTATAATTATTTATATTCTTTGTGAATAAATGTTGTATTTTTAAACTATTTACCTGTCTTTGCATTCCTTGTATCTCTCCAGGAACATTTCTGGTACTTATTATCAAATACACCGCCATACAAATGTAAAATATGGCAATAATGGCCAAAGGTACCAAATAAAGGATGCAAAATTTAGCCAAAACCATCACTTGTGGATATTTATTGTTCAGCCATGATGGATAAGGATAACAAACCACGAAGGATATGTCGCCTTCGTCAAATGTCTTTAGGTGAGAGCCTATGGCTGCTGGTATCGCACATATTATGGAAAGAATCCATATGGATATTGCCACACATAAGGTTATTCTTGTTGCTTTTTTGCCACCACCTAAAATTAGAAATATCAATCCTTAAATTTAACACTTGAAGCATTATAAGCAATTTATTCTTTTTTGAATTAAAATAATATTAGCATGTCGAAAGTTTTTTTAATTGAATCCATTCTTAATAAAATTATTCTTTAAAGGGCAACGTTTTAATCTATTATCTTTTGATTTGTTTATAAGAATTTAAATAAAATATCTAGTCACAAGGAAAGTACAAAAGTCTGTTAATTGTGAAGTTAATTATATTATGCCTTCATAAGATAATAAATTAACCAAAGTAATCAAACAAATTATAGAAAACAAAAATATACAATTATTCACTTTTGAAGCAATATTTGGTTTTTAAAAACGTTATGTATTTTTGTCAAAAAACATTAATATTTTACATCGCGGATGCAACAATTAACAATGGGTTCTAATAGTCAATAAAAAATGTTTGATTGGTTTACAAAATTTAAAATAGCCAAATTTATTGACAAACCAAACACAAACGATATGCTAAGCTATAAAACAGTTGTTTTCAGCGGTATCTTGAATTTTATTGCAAATAGACATTTTCCTGGTCTCGTAAAATAAAGGCCATAAATTTAAGCAGCATACCTATGCACGGCGTTCGGCGTTTATTTAAAAACACACCGTTAGTTAACTTAATTTAATCTGCAAAAATCCGAAAAATTAGGTCAAATTGCAAACCAGCTGAATGAGATTATGAACGACAAAAATAAAAATATTCAAGTAAATTTATAGCCCGGCTTAATGCTGTAAAAGCGGTGGAAATAGGAAATACAGAAACGGAAGGTTTAGGAGATGAATTTTTTTTATTATAAACAAATACTTTGAAGTTGCCACGATTGCATTTCTAAAGTTATTGGTGGGTTATTAAAGGAGAAATAAAAAAATTCAATTGTTCAATTATTATAAAAGTTTGTACTATTTTAATATGAATCATAATGCAGTTAGCACCAATCCGATTTTTCAGAAACAGTTTTTAAATGGTTTCTAATTACTCAGTAATACATCAAAGGATTATATTATAAAATCCTTTGTATGTAATTTATTATCGTAAAAGTTAATTTTCACATCGATTTTAAATTTAAAAAAAATCCTTTTATGTTCTTAAATAAATTTAAATTCATTAAAATGTATTTAGTTTAAATTTACATATTAATATTTAATGGCTTAATTAATTGCTATTTTCACCACGGATTGGTTTTTGCTTATATAAATATTTATTAAACTAAAACGATATGGTGGAATCATGAAAAACTAATTGAACAAAATTTGGGCTAAAAATAATTTTATGCTAAGAGAAAATTACATTAAAGTAAACTCTTTAAAATAACGTAAATAAAATTTTGTTTATTTTCATTTTTAAGTAGAAATTTGAAATAAATTTAAGGTATTAAAATAAAACGGAATATGATTAATTATAGGATAGGTACATATTTAAAACATATTGACTCGGCATGTTGTAAACAATATATTTTACTTCAAAAATGTTTGAGATGAAATTTATATTAACAAATTTGCGGAAACGCTTGGTTTTCGAGATAAAGAGTATTGCATTTTATCAATAAAAAAATACTAATTCTAATATTAAAAAACGATTCGCCTGCGATTATTATTATTTTGCCGATTATCGTAATCGCCTATTATCGAATATGATTATTTTACTAATTTTTAAAATACAATACAAGGCAAATAATTCCAGAATATTATAAAAAATAGAAACAATAATAATTAAAAAAATATCTAACTTAAAAATGCTATGCTTTTAAATTAAAAATTAATTTATGTTAAATTTTAATGTTGATAATATAAACCAATCTAAGTTTTTTAAGTTTTGTTTATTTTTTATAAATACTTTTTCGTTTTTAAATTTTTGTTTCTATTTAATTTATTTCATGTAGAAGTTAATAATTAATAATTAATACCTACTTATTTCAATAAAATAAAGTTTTTGTATATAAAGGGTGCCAGTTCTTATATTTTAAGAAAATATTCTACAGTGTGGAATCCTCAATCCACACAACAAGGTCTGTTCGATCTCGTAGTAAAAATACCATAAATCACTGCAACACTGCACATCATACGATGTGCGGTTGTTTACAATTCTTGTGCTTTTGTAATTTAAAATATACGAACAATGTTTTCGGTATTTTTACCTTTCGTTTATTAATCGTAATCGTAATTATTGGATATAGATTCTAAATTGTAGAATCGTAACCGTTATCGCAATCGTATATAAATAAGTATTGCAATATGCTATAATTATTTCCACACGATGTAAGTCTTAATCCCCTCCACACGAACTGGTTGACAAATTGTAAAAATACAACAACATTTTTATAATAATATATTAAAATTAAAAATGGAGTGGCATAACTAGCTGCTTTTAGATCAATGAGTGGTCCAGTATTGCCGGACAATATATTGCATAAATAAAATTTGTATGGTGTACGTTTTATCACGTTAGTGTTATATGTATAATCGGCTACCATGGATTTAGTGAGGTGTAAAAATAAGCCTAATTGGATTTAGTGGCGTTTGAATTTTAACGCACTTTTTACAGTAGGTACATTTTTATATACTTGGTAGATTTTGCAACCATTCGAATGCACACATTGATAGGGAATTTTAGTTGGAATATTTTGATGCATCATCCCATTTTTTATTAAGAACGGATTTAAGGAAATGGACGCCTCTGATTTGCTATAACTTGCTCAGTTTTGGAAAATTGTTAAAAACTAAACTTTAGGATTCCTTAAAAAATATGTACTTAAAAGATTATCTGGGGACCGTAAAAAACTAAAAAATACATACCTATATAAAAATACTGTATTACGAACTCTTAAAAAAATTAATATTTTAATTTTTTTGTAAAACAACCTACAATGGATTTGTAAAATTATAATATATTTTAACAGATCTGCAAACATGTGCCTTAATTTTAATCCTTTTACAATTTTTTTCCATTTTTCCCAAAAAAGGAAAAAAAGTAATAAATGTAATGGGCACATAAAGCTTGAGCTTTTGCTTTAAAAACATGTGAGTTACATTATCGGATTAAATTTTCGTTTGATGTTTTTAACTGTACACTGAAAAAACAAATCTGTTCTATCAACCAATAAATTTTTTGTTGAAATTGTTTTTGTTGGTCCTAATAAAAAATTTGTTAACCCAAGTAAAGTGTTTAATACATTAGTATTTGCAACAAAAATGAATTTGTTGGAAAGAATTAGTTTACTCTACTGACAATATGCGTCGCCGCTAATAGGTATCCTTAGTAAACATAACAAATATGTTTTTGTTGTCAATTTTCGCCCAAAATTGACATGATGTGACATTGAAATTTATTTTATAAAGTTGACCGACTTGGTGCCATGGTTAAAGTTAAGTCTTGGTGTCATAGTGATTGAATAATAAAAAAATAATTTGTCACTGTCAAAAAATTTTTGTGCAAATGCTAGAGGAAGCAGGTTCGAGTTAATTAATTTTTGTGCATTGGGCGTTATGGATGAAGATGTAAACCAAATATTAACCTAGTGGGGATTTTCTTCAGTAGAAAATACTTTTAAAGGTACCAAAATAATTTTTGTTAAAAAAAATCAAACAATATTAAACTATACCTACACAAAATTGTTAATGCAACTCTTTTTATTAATTAGTATTACATACTGAAAGAGGTGCTTTAACAATATTGTGTAGGCATAGGTTAATATTGTTTAAGTTCTTTTAACAAAAATTATTTTTTGGTTATTAAAAGAACTACCACAAAGCAACAATGTTGTAGTTACTCATTACCATAGCTTTTCCAACAAATAGATTTATAATGAAAACAAATGCAAAAAGTTATAGAAACAAATAAATTATTACCTAAAACAAATGTAAACTATTTTAACAACAAAATATTATTGTATGAGATATCAATAATATTAGTTACTTTAAACAAGACGCCATAGTTTTGTCAACAAAAAATATTAGTTACAGTAACATATTATGTCTCAACAAAAAAAATTTGTTGTTATAACAAAGATTTTAGTTGAGGCTATAGCTACAAATAAAATTTGTTGGCGCAACTTTTTTTTAGTTGCTTAAACAAATTATTTTTTTCAGTGTACATATATTAAATTTAGAAGTTTTAAGTTATTATTGTCATTATGGTTAATAAACCATTGCAGCTGATAAGCATAGTCGGTTAATATATTTATCTACGCCAGTGAGATAAGAACTTCTTATCCCACTCATTTTGAGTGAGATAAGAAGTTCATTAACGCACGCGTTTTTCTCTGTTTTTAACCAATCAAATAAAAAAGTCAAAATGTCAAAATAACCCTAAATTAAGTCTTAGACAAAAATAATTACCGTTTATTTTTTCATTTAGAGGCGTAGATAAAAATTTGTACAATATACGTGTGATAACGCTTTATTAACGTACTTTTGCGATTGCCAAACTCGTGCTACGCACTCGAGTAATGTATGTATGTATGTATGTATTTCCTTTTGTCAGATCATAGATTCAACCGTAAAAAATCACTAAGTGAACTTAACTCCAATATGGAAAAAATGTCCCTTACGCCTCTTTGTCAGAACAGCGACGATATGTGAATACATGTGTTTGAATAAGTTATCTATTTTTTTCACCTCTTGTAAATTTAACATTTTTATCTCATTTTCTGTTAGACTGTTATTAGCTTTCTTTAAAAAATCGACTTACCATACTATGTTGTGGTTGAATTAGACTCATAATAATATTATTATTAAAATCAGAAAAAAAATATTTTTAACAAAGTAAGAGCCAACTATGGTTTATTGAAAAAACACAACTTTGGGTCGTATCTCTTAAACTAGAAGAGCTAAAACAAATCTGCTTATGCCAATGAATTCTGTCATAAAAGGGCCTATACAATGTATTAATCCTGTATTCGTAATTCAAAGATTAAATAAGCTATAAGAATTTATCAAAATTAAAAATATACTATATTTCCTAAACAAATGCGAATCGAGAAAATTCGAATCTTTAAAAATGAGAACGAGGGTCGAATTTTTTCTAGCATTTATCTTTAGGACACCCGTACACTGTACAGCAAGGCGATCTTTAAATTATAACGCTAAAAACATCCAACATATAAAATAACTTGTGTAATCGTTTGTATAATTTATGTATATCTATGTTACAACGTTTAGCATTTTGAAGTCAACGATTAAAGCTATCTGAATTATTGCTTTTTTATATTCTTGTTCATTATTTTTTTATACTTTAACTAAAGTATTACTTATATAATGAAACCTGTACATAATAAAACCATCTATTAAAAAAAATTCAAGTTTTGATTAATATTTTTGTAAAAAAGTAACTTATTTATAAATAGAATTGCAAATTGAATCAAAGTAAGGAGTTTTAAAATATATTTTATTATACTTACTACTTGTATGAAACTTCTTTAACGGGTCTACAATGGCAAAAAATCTATCTGCAGATAAAGCAGTCAGGGTGAAAACGGATACCCCTATAGAAATGTCTTTCGCAGTTTCCGATATTTTGCATATTGTTAGACCCCATGGCCAAGAATCCACAGTGTATATCGTCGATGTGAAGGGAACACTAGTTATAATAACTAGAAGATCAGCTAGAGCCAATGATAAAATATACCTGGAATAAAAAAATAGAATAAGTTTTTTTACATAAAATGTAAAATGTTCTGAATATTCTTTTACAGTAATAGGTTTTTTTTAATTTATATATTTTAAAATGTTTAAACCCGTTTCATAAAAAATAGTCCGAAGTTATAAATTCTGAAGATCTTGGATGCCCAGTGGGCATTGACCACGTGACCTATTCAAGGTAACAGAAAAAAAAATTTAATTATAAAACTTATTTATTAAAACACGCTAGATAAATACAATATTTTGTGATGACAGTCTGACTCAAATGAATGTTAGTTGTTCCTATTTGTTGCTTGCTTTGTTTGCTTTTCTTACAACTTTACCTGTATAATTTGCACCCATTCCATACTATTAAACATATATGTTTAATTGAATCAAACTATTTATTGAAAAATTTTACGTAAACAATCGCGAATTACTTGAAAACAACTTTGGTGGTATGTTAAACAAATATTAGCAATATTCCCCAACACCCAAACAAAACACAAAGTGCTTAAAGTACCCGAAAATTAAAAAATCGGGGATCTACGAAAAAACTGTCAAGATTGTAACAAATGCTAAAAGCAAATGTCACAAATGTCAAATAAATCTTGATAAAATTTTAATTGTTTTATGTCTAATTTAAAATGTCAATGTATAGAAATCGACTTTTTTAGGGAAAATATAAACGCTGAAAGAAAATTACCCAATTTATTTTATAAAACAACAGTTTTTAAAGAAAAATACTGTGTTGCCATGTTGTGAAAAAACCTAACGTATGTAACAAAAGTTTTGATACACATTTTCTAACTATGCTTTATCACTCTGGAATTACCCATCTAGTTACCGTTGCCTAAATTGTATGCATTTGGGCCTTGTCATTTTGACAGTTTTATTAAAAAAATTTGTGTCATGGCCATGGAGCCTACACACGGAGCCCGAACTTAATAGGGAAAATTGACAAAACCTGTCCACTAAATTGCACAAATTTTTTCACCACCAGCGGCGCTGATTGTCGATGCGTCCGTATGACGTGAAAATAGTATCGAAAATACATGTGAAGTAAGCAAGTAAGTTTTGAAAATTGATTTGCAATAATGTTTTCACGTACGAATCGTTTTGTTATTTATGGCTGTACCTGGTAGGTAGATGCTAATGAATAGGTTTTGGTTGTGATTCTTTATAATCTGTAAAGTGATTTTACGACTCTGGAGAAGCAAAATTAGATTTCCAGGTTAGAAATACACCGCTATTTAATAATTTAAATTTAATTTAAATAAAAAAGTATGTATAAAATGAGTAAACAGCATATTTAATAATTTCCACCTTTATTTGTTTATATTGAACTTTTATTTTTTATTTAAGCCATCTACCTATAAAACTAAAAATAAATACCATATGGATTTAATATTCTGTAAGTTTTACACACGTTAACACCACACGACATTCGTTTATAGAAAAAAACACGTATTTATAAAAAACTGTACTATGCTCTATATCAGAAAGTCCAACATGAATTCCAATGTTAAATTTGATTTAAATTTATTGTAAATTAAGACCTTTATACACAAAACCAGGTACATGGGTACATTGTTTTCAGAAAGCGATAAACTGAGTTGCGTAACCTCAACTATTTGCACAATAATAATTGGTAGGTAGTGGCGCCCTCTTATCTTAGGAAGATTCTTGTTTACATGAAGTTCGGGCTCCTTGTGTAGGCTCCATGGTCATGGCCTACAAAATCGAAATCCCAAAAAGAATTTATAATTTAGTTTGCCGAATGCCAAAATAGGATATTGTTAACATGTTTCAAGGACCTAATATCTCCCGTGCAACAATTTACAGAACAATAAAGGAATGTGAGGAAGGAATACCTTGTATGAACCAAAGGCCTCGAATATTGACAGATATCACAGCAGCTAGACTGGGAGAAAGTGCAAAAGAAAAAGTTGATGAATCTACAGGTAAAGCCGTTACAGCAGGTTTTTATAAACAAAGATGTATGGCTAAATTGTTAAGATTTAAACAATCATCACAATAATGATAAAATTACGTTCTAGCCTGATTTATCTTCTTGCCCATATGCCAGGGAAACTAAAGAATGGTTACAAGCCAATATTGTTTCATTTGTTTCCAAACAATATAATCCATATAATCCCCAAGCACGACATATTGAAGAATTTTGGGCCTTATTAAGTAGGAAAGCTTACGATAAAGGATGAGAGGCAGAAAACGAAGAACAACTAAGAAGAAGAATTTACCAAAATATTCGGGAAATCGATGTTGCCACCATCCAATCACTTATGAGGCACTTAGGAACAAAATTGCGAAGGATTGAATACCAGAGGCCACTAGCTGCTTTAAAATATAGTTTTATTGTTATGAATTTATGTCAACTATTAACCTTTTAAAATTTTAATAAATGTTAGTTTTTTCATTTTTGTCTCAAAACTTTTGTTACATACGTTATATCTACTGATATGCTAACTCAGTGGATATAAATAAATCAACGTTTCTGCAGATTTTGATGCATCGGTATAAGAGTATAATTTGGGTAATTGGTTAAAATAGAATTAAAGTTATTTTTTATAAGCCGGTGGGAGGTTTCTAATTTTGAAAAGGCTTGCAGGAAAATATTGCATTTAGATATTTCCACCAGTCATAGTAGATAGTCGAGCATTTTAAATTGGAGGGTTTCATTAAAAATTTCGGGATCGGAGTAAATTCTTTTATATATTAGAGGTATTGACTTTTTAATTTGTGGTAATGGCGGCGGTTCGAGAAACTTCTTAAAAATTGGATGGCTTCTGCGGTTTGATAGTTTGACCATGTGGTTATCAGTATGTTGTTGTCTACGTAGTTCCAATGGTTTTTCGTTAGTTATTAAGTACAGGCTCTCCACAGGAAATGGGTACCTTCACATGTGGGTATCTCAGGTAATGAGCCCAGCAGATTAACTCGCCCAATCAACAGCAATCTCAATCAGCGAAACAATCCTACGATTTCAAAAAGTTCCATATGATGACATAAAATCTTACATTAAAAACCGAAGCAAAGAAAGATGGCAAGAAAGATGGAACTCAATAACCAACAAAATTAAGGGACATAAGTCAAGTTATTCTTACCCGCCTCAGAATTGGCCACTCCTGGTACTCGCATGAATACCTGAAGCAGGAAGAACCAAAAATGTGCCACATATGCAATAAACAAATTACCACCAAACATATCCTCATTGAATGTACACAATATACCTTGGAAATAATTAAACACCACCTGACAGGCTCAATGAAGGACAACATACTATATGGATAAACGAATAAACTTTATGACTTCCTAATGGAAATTGATTGGTATAATGTTTTATAATCTATGTCTATACCTAAAATATTGTATACGTCGCTAATAACCTATAATGGGTTGATGCGACCTGTTTTTTTGTGTATAAAAAATTAAGTTAAAGTGTCATCTTGCCTCTCCTGAGCCGCAAAATCGTAAATCATTTCTCTAATTCTGTCCACTCTAAAAAATACTACAAAAAATTTCAGTAGCGACAGTTTATGGTTTTTTGTACAGCCAATCACTTATGTCAACGTGAATAATGAGTTTATTATTCTCATTGTTAGGTGGGGCGTTTATATTGGTTACCATTATACACTGCCCGTCAAAATTAACGCATAATAAGTAAAAAAATTACTCTTAAACGCCTTTACCCATCTTTATAAAAACACTTTAACTTATATCTCAGTTTACGTTTTCAAGGGTTTTTCAAAAAAATATCCTTAAAGCCCTTTTATTTAATATTAAAAAAAAGCTGCAAAAAAAACTTTTCCAGGGAAATTTATTTTTAAGTAAATAAAAAATATGTTGTGAAAGACCGTATTTTTGTTAGCTAAAATTGAAATATTTTAATATTATATTGTTTTAAGTATTTCTATTTGCATTTAAGCATATGAGATTGAGTATATAAAGGAATATTTTTTTAAATCTGTTTTAAACACGTTTTTATGTTTCATATTACATTTTAAAAGAATAAAAAACTTACTGCATATAAATAAAACAAAACGTGTGTGTGATCACCATAATTTAATAACTTTCCAGATTTGTATGTAAATATTTGACTTATGTTGTGCAAAACATGTCATTTTTTAATTGGATTTATTATGGTATTAAACTACAAAGTTCATAAATCCGTTTTGATCATGAAAATTCGGATTATGTGTGTAGTTTATTAAAGTATAGCAAAGCGAAGCAAATTGAGTTAAAATTTAACTGTTAAATCATTATAAACTTGGGTATTTGTTTTTATTAACTCGAACAAAAGAAAGTTTCTTGAAATCCAATTTCTCACCTATTGAGTTTTGTTCTAAGAAAGTCAAAGGCGTAATACTTGCTTTAAGTAGAGAATAAAAATATTAATCCGGGTAGAATAACTATGGTTATAACTAGTTGGTGTTTGTTTTATTTAATAAACAAAATATTTAATTTGATAATTGAGTTTATTACGAAAAATACAATTCGAACAACATTTATTAAATATATGCTTTCAATGAATTGGAAATTTCCACTCAAACAACTAAATAAATTTAAATTAAATTGTTGTGAACCATGAAATGTTTTTATTATTTTTTTATTTAAAACTACAAACCTATAGAGTTCGGTTTGTATGAAATATCAATATCATTTTGCAACAAGTTCAGTTAAATTTAAATATGAATAAATTTGAATTACCTACTACAATTTAGAAAGTCTCACCATGTAGGTGAAACTAATAAACAATAAATTTGTGGTAAATTAGCATTAAATACATTTTTATAAAAAGCATTAAGTTTAAAAATTGAGATGGTTTCCTGCCTTTTTGTGTTAAAGCGATCTTTTTTTGTGTATAAATAAACCTTTTTATATCCGTTATTTATGGCCGGATTCTAAAAAATTAAAGTTTTTTGTAATTATCAGTCTACAATCAACAATTTTTGTATTATACATTTTTAACAAAAGTAAGTACAAACA